AGACTCCACGATTCACACAAGGCTTGGTTCAACCACTTGTCCACGTCGGAGTCCCGCACCCGCCAGTCAAAGAGGAAAAACTTCCCCGCCTAATCATTCTGAGGGTAAGCAAGTAGTCAACAAGCAGTACAGTAAGAATGAACTCGCCCAACTTGGAGTTCGAAAGTACTTACCTGAGGTTAGTCTGAGGTTGGTTCGAAAAGGTTCTTCAGTCTGCAAACTTCAAGGCGCACGATGTGCAGACAAATACACTACGAGGACCGTATAGGGCTGATCACTGTTGGCGTACAGGACACGAAATTTTTGGCACAGGCTCGAGCTCATGCATCCGGAAGGTCTGGAATCCGGGAGAAGCCGCCCTGAGCTGGACCTCCAGAAATCGTCGGCTGAAGCCAGATTTTTGCCGCTTTTCAGAAGATTTCTGGTTCTCGCTGGAGAGGTTGAGAGGAAGCGATAATAAAATCTTTGATTTCTTCTGGCCTTGACTGGGAACTGCTGGGATAGGCTGGGATGCACCGTTGTAAGCCAGAAATAATTGACTTTGAATTCTAACTACTATATACGTTACATAAATGTCGTATCTGGATATATCCGCGTCCTATTTGACTATACCCGCGTCCTCTGGCCTATCCACAGCTCCCGCTCCAGTGTTTCTCATATCCCTGCGCCGTAGTACCAATGCATAGCGTTCCAGCGGCCTCGCTCGAGCTCTCTTAGGAGTACACAAATTCTGTATGATAATTAGGTTAAAGGCAAAGGATGACGCGACAAGGCATACCTGGTTAAGCGCATACATTCGTGAAAGACAAACGCGAACTCGACCTTTGAAGTGGAGGCAGTCGCGATAAGGTGTCCGTCTCTTTCTTAGGAGAAAATGATGAGCAAACTTGAATGCGAACGTTGCAGGATCAACGTACCAGATCTCAGTTCAACGGCACGCGATCAGAACAGGGAGAAACTTAGAAGCATTCTCAAACATTAGCAATGAATGCGACACATGTTGAACGCATATACTCACCGGTAAGACGATATTAACCAAACTCCTTGACCCCTGAACTCAGTTTGCCGCCGTCGGGGACTCTTGAATTGAGCGGCATAACGTTGTCGCACAAAGCAGCAGCGGAAACGTAGAGATGCGGATGCATATGCAGTAGACATGATGGTGGGGGAAGGCAAGAATGAATGACGACGTCAGTGTTCATTGATTATGTAAGTAAAGCTTTCCCATCACAGAAATGTGGACGTTGTGTGGACGACCAATGGACGACGCATCGTCCTTAGACCAAGCAGCTTGTACTTAGAGAAGAAAAAATTCAAAGTTGCGGAAAGACATCGTCGACGTGATTCAACTGACTTCATTCGATAATCACGGCAGCGACCAGAACCAATTAATCGCCTTGGACTCGGAGCGAGTCGCGTGGCCGCGTCGGACTACCCCAGATAGCAGCAGCTAACTCCAGAAATTTAGCCGTTTGCCCAGATTGCTCCAGAAGAACGGTTTTCACTGGGAGCGCTCATGACTGTTCTCGAACAAAAGCTGTATGTCCCCCAGATACTTCATTTTTTGGAACGGCTCTACGAAGTTCTTCAATTGCAACGTGCTTGATAGCAAAATATCGAAGTAAAAAATAAGATAACAGGAGAGCTAATTCGCTAATTGAGTCCATATCTCTGTAACGAAGTACCCTCCTAAATATCCGCTGCCCTTTAAGGCGTAGTGGTCCAGATCTGGTTCGGATTTCTATTGGAGCATTGGAAGGTTTGCAGTTGATTTCCGTTGAAGCTTTGTCCACGGGGGAGATCAACGCATTGAGGGTCTGACGGGTATTAAATTTCTGAAAGAACACATGTCGAAACGAAGAGGACATACTCCTTCTAGACTCTGTCGCTTTGAGCCTGATCTGATTCTGGTTCGTATAATCCCATATTTGAGCTTGGATGGAATCAATGCACCGGAAGATCTTCAACTTGTCGCCATTACGGAATTGATTCGCTAGAAGCCATATCGACGTTAGCTTTCAAGGGCAAAATGGAAGTGGGAAACGAAGCCAACTTACGCGAACCAGCATCCAAGCAGAAGTTCGTGCCCGTAAGTTGAACCCTGGTGGTGCCTCTAAAGATATTCCATCGTTGAGCTGGACTGCCGTTGCAGTCAAATCTAAACCAAAGAAGTAAAAATCAGAAATCGCGAAGACAAGGGCGAGGCAGAAGAAACGCACATCTGAACCGGAGTTCCATTCTGCCGTCTGTTACCCGCGACGTTCATACACTTCTTTGTGTTGAAGTTGGGATGGATTTGCACACCAGTGGGAGTAGGGGTGGCGGTGATAGTAACCGTGACCGTAACGGGCAAAGAAGTGTTGGTGGTGGTGGCCTTGGTTGTACTGGTGGTGGAAGTGGGTTGACCAGATGTGACCGTTGTTGTAATCGTTGTAGTCCTACGCTTAATCGTTGTGATTGGTACGGTGGATGTCGTGGTAGTAGTAATCGTGACTGGGCCTGTCGTAGGGGTAGTAGTGGGTGTAGTGGTGGTGCTGCTCGTTGTCGTGACCGATATCCCAGAGGTGACAGTCTGAGTTTTCGTAACCGTCACCGTAGTCCGACTTTTGACTGTAGTGGGGATTGTGGACGTAGACGTGACGGTGACAGTGATTGGGCCAGTAGTGGGTGTCGTAGTGGTACTGGGAGTAGTAGTGGTCGTGACACTTATTCCAGAGGTGACGGTTCGGACTGAAGTCACTGTAACGGTAGTGCGGCGGGTGGTGGGGACTGTGGTCGTGGCTGTAACGGTGACAGTTATCGGACCAGTAGTCGGAGTCGTAGTGGTGCTTGGAGTCGTAGTAATTGTGACACTTACCCCAGAAGTGACTGTTCGAGTCGATGTCACTGTGGTAGTGGTCCTGGTAGTGGTCGGGCTAGTCGTGGTAGTACTGGAGGTGGTTCTCGTAGTCGATGGAGATGTGGTTGTGGATGACGATGTTTTAGATGAAGTGGAGGTTGAGGAAGATGTTGAGGACGACGAGGATTTGGAGGTGGAACTGGTAGACGATGTCGAGGAGGATTTGGAGGTGGAACTAGTTGAGCTGGTGGATGACGTCGAGGAGGATTTGGAGGTTGAACTAGTTGAGCTGGTAGTGATGTCGAGGAGGATTTGGAGGTTGAACTAGTTGAACTGGTCGATGATGTCGAGGAGGTTTTGGAGGTGGAACTAGTTGAGCTAGTAGATGATGTCGAGGAGGATTTTGAGGTAGAACTAGTTGAACTGGTCGATGATGTAGAGGAGGATTTGGAGGTGGAACTAGTTGAACTGGTCGATGATTTTGAGGAGGATTTTGAGGTTGAACTAGTTGAGAGATGTCGAGGACGATTTTGAGGTAGAACTAGTTGAACTAGTCGATGATGTCGAGGAGGTTTTGGAGGTGGAACTAGTTGAACTGGTGGATGACGTCGAGGAGGATTTTGAGGTGGAACTAGTTGAGCTGGTGATGACGTCGAGGAGGATTTGGAGGTTGAACTAGTTGAGCTGGTAGATGATGTCGAGGATGATTTTGAGGTCGAACTAGTTGAACTGGTCGATGATGTCGAGGAGGTTTTGGAGGTGGAACTAGTTGAACTGGACGACGATGTCGAGGAGGATTTGGAGGTAGAACTAGTTGAACTGGTGATGATGTCGAGGAGGATTTGGAGGTTGAACTAGTTGAACTGGTCGATGATGTCGAGGAGGATTTTGAGGTGGAACTAGTTGAGCTGGTGGATGACGTCGAGGAGGATTTGGAGGTTGAACTAGTTGAGCTGGTAGATGATGTCGAGGATGATTTTGAGGTCGAACTAGTTGAACTGGTCGATGATGTCGAGGAGGTTTTGGAGGTGGAACTAGTTGAACTGGACGACGATGTCGAGGAGGTCTTGGAGGTCGAGCTGGTCGAACTAGTGGATGACGTGGTGGATGACGAGCTTTTAGAGGTTGAGCTGGATGAGCTAGTGGGTGTCGACGAGGTGCTGACAGTGGTCGATGAGGTGGTCGGCGGTTTGGAGGAGGTCGACGACGAGGAAGACGACGAGGTGCTAGTGACAGAAGTCGTCGTCGTTGTAGCCGCAGGCCCCTGGGGGGCAGCGAGAATTGGAGAAACAGCCAAAAGGCAAAGGAGAAGCGACTTCGCCAGCATGACGGTAAATCTTGGGGAGCGAGAAGAATGCCATCCTCTCTTTTCTATCTGGGAGGTGTGTGCCAAGCTTTGACTGCCGCGAGACAGTTCGGGGGGAAAAGGAGGCTAATTCGAAAAAGGGAGATTATATGTATGTTTGCTCGTGGATAGAGAACGCACTTACTATCTGTTTCTGAGACTGACATTGGGCTATTCATCATAGAGCGACGTGCTTGGTGCTCTGCCTACCATGCACACCTTGCCCGCACCTTTCTTTCGAATCTGTGTCTACTCCAAGATGAATCAGAGGCGTCAGGAGCCCAATATTCTCCTATGGAAGCGTATCCAGCCCCTGAATCCTCAGCAAACACGGCTCACATTCAATCCGTTGTGGTCGACCCCAGAGCGTCCGATCGAGTCCACATAGAAGCGGCGAGTGTGACGACATTGATTTCGCTTTGGCACTTGAGGGAGGGGCCTTGTATTCTTTGCTTCAACCCCGCCTCGTACACTTGCTAATATCAAATAATGGGTACATAGATTCGGGGAAGCATAGCCTCCCAGTTTGATCCCTGCTACGGACACCGTTAAACGTCGAACCGTCCAACTTGACATTTTTTGGACGTACCGATTGGTTCCTTTGACTACCCTCTTCTCAGCACGAGAAATATCATTCACAATTTGAAAGGCTGCTGGTAAGCCAACGAGAACATTGCACGCGCGCCGCATTGGAGACGGACAAGTTTGTTCGAACACTTGTGAACCTCGCAGCCAATTAGAGAAGCAACGCTTTCGTCCGATTTGAATTTCTGCGATGGTGCTGTAAACCCGAAGTCGCTCATTTTGAAGTTCAAAAGTACTTACCCGCATGCTGGATTAGCTCTCCAAAACCCTCTTCTCGTCGCACGAGAGACTCCACGATTCACACAAGGCCTGGTTTAACCACTTGTCCACGTCAAAGCCCCGCACTCGCCAATCGGGAAACAGAAACTTCCCCGCCTAACCATTGCTGAGGGTAAGCAAGTAGTACAGTAAGAATTAACTCGCCCAACTTGGCGGTCGAAAGTACTTACCTGAGCTTGGTTCGAAAAGATTCTTCAGTCTGCAAACTTCAAGGCGCACGATGTGCAGGCAAATAGGCTACGAGGACCGTATAAGGCTGAAAGGAAGTGATCACCGTCGGCGTACATGACACAAAACGTTTGCCACAGGCTCGAGCTCATGACTGTTCTCGAACAAAAGCTGTAAACCTGAAGTCGCTCATTTTTAAGTTCCATCCAAGGCTTTCGTCCAATCTCTGCCATGGCACCGTAAAGCTGAAGTCACTCGTTTTGAAGTTCAAAAGTACTTACCCGCATGTTGGACTTCTCCGGGACCCTCTTCAACTCGTCGCACGAGAGACTCCACTTGGACTCCACGATTCACATAAGGCTTGGTTCAACCACTTGTCCACGTCGGAGTCCCGCACTCGCCAGTCAGAGAAAACCTCCCTTGCTGAGGGTAAAGTAGTACAGCAAAATTAACTCGCCCAACTTGGAGTTCGAAAGTGCTTACTAAGCTGAGGTTGGTTCGAAAAGGTTTTTCAGTCTGCAAACGTCAAGGCGCACGATGTGCAGGCAAATACACTACGAGAACTATGTAAGGCTGAAAGGAACTGATCACCGTCAGCGTACATGACACGAAATTTTTGCCACAGGCTCGAGCTCATCACTGTTCTCGAACAAAAAAGCCTTGTACCCCAGATACTTCCTTTTTTGGAACAGCTGCAACGTGCTTGATACTTAGAAGGCAAAACAAGATAACAGGAGAGCTAATTCGCTAATTGAGTCCATATCTCTGTAACGAAGTACCCTCCTAGATATCCGCTGCCCTTTAAGACGTAGTAGTGTTGGTAATGGTCCAGATCTCGTTCGGAATTCCGACATTGAGGCATTGGTAGGTTTGCAGTTGAGTTTTGTTGAAGGGCCAATCAACGCATTGAGGGTCTGACGGGTGTTAAATTTCTGAATGAACACAAATTGAAACGAAGAGGACATACTCCCTCCTGCCTCTGTCGCTTTTAGCATGATCTGATTCTGGTTCGTATAATCCCATAGTTGAGCTGGGATAGAGTCGATGCACCGCCGGATATTCAACTGGTCGCCATTGACGAAGACGTTCGCTAGAACCCATGCAACATTAGCTTACAAGGGCAAAATGGAAGTTGTAAACGAGGGAACTTACACATGCCAGCATTCAAGCAGAAGTTCGTGCCTGCAAGTTGAACCCTCGTGACGCCTCTAGCGATAATCCATCGTTGAGATGAACTGCCATTGCAGTCGGATCTAAACCAAGAAAGTAAATCAAAATCACGAAGAGAAGTCCGAGGCAAAAAAACGTACATCTGAACCGGAGTTCCATTCTGCCGGATGTTACCCGCAACGTCCATACACTTATTGCTGAAGTTGTTATGGATTTGGAAACCAGTAGGAGTAGGGGTGGCCGTTATAATATGCGTAGTGGATGTATTTCGGACTGTGGTCGTAGACGTGACGGTAACAGTGATTGGGCCAGTAGTCGGAGTCGTAGCAGTGCTGGGAGTAGTAGTGGTCGTGACACTTATTCCGGAGGTGACGGTTCGGATTGAGGTCACTGTGGTAGTGCGGCGGGCCGTGGTAGTAATGGGGATTGTGGTCGTGGCTGTAACGGTGACAGTGATCGGACCAGTAGTCGGAGTCGTAGTGGTACTTGAAGTCGTAGTGGTTGTGACGCTTATTCCAGAAGTGACAGTTCGAGTCGATGTCACTGTGGTAGTGGTCCTAGTAGTGGTCTTGCTAGTCGTGGTAGTACTCGAGGTGGTTGACGTAGTTGAGGGAGATGTGGTTGTGGGTGACGATGTTTTAGATGAAGAAGAGGTTGAGGACGACGAGATTTTGGAGGTGGAGCTGGTAGATGATGTCGAGGAGGATTTAGAGGTCGAGCTGGTTGAACTGGTGGATGACGTCGTGGATGACGAGCTTTTAAATGTTGAACTGGATGAGCTAGTGGATGACGGTGTCGACGAGGTGCTGACAGTGGTCGATGAGGTGGTCAGCGGTTTGGAGGAGGAAGTCGACGAGGAGGAAGACGACGAGGTGTGAGTGACAGAAGTCGTCGACGTTGTGGCCGCAGGCCCCTGGGGGGCAGCGAGAATCGGGGAAGCAGCCAAAATGCAAAGGAGAAGCGACTTCGCCAGCATGACGGTAAATCCTTGGCAGCGAGAAGAATGGCAGCATTCTGTCTTTTTGTGCCAAGCTTTGACTGCCGCGAGACAGTTCGGATGAAAAAGGAGGCTAATTCGAAAAAAAGAGATTATGTGTATGTTCGCTCGTGGATAGAGAACGTACTCACTATCTGTTTCCGAGACTGACATTGGGCTCCTCACCATAGAGCGACGTGCTTGGTGCTCTGCCTACCATGCGCACCTTTCTTTCGAAGCTGTGTCTATTCCAAGATGATTCAGAGCGTTAGGAGCGGTGTCGACCCAATATTCTCCTATGGAGGCGTATACAGCCCCTACATCCTCAGCGAAGTGCGACAATGCCTATAGGAAACGGCTCGAGTTAA